TCTAATGGAGCAATAAACATGTTTGACGTAACTCCACTTATGGTGTTCTTCCATGAGAGGTGTGATTTATTTCTTTCGTGAGTTTGGGTGTAATTTGTGATTGTCTATGTGTATGTCCATGGCATAGGCTCCCAGTTCTTTTTTTTATCATGTCAAGTGATGAGACGAAATATGATATACTTAAAAAACCAGACGTTTTGTTTAATTTTAATTTTGTCGATACCGACAATTAAAAAATTAAAAAATGATTCAATAGTAACTTGTTACCATCAGTCTGCGTCGCGCAAAGGGACGAACGCGACGGATATAAAATTGCGTCATTTTATTCAAATTTCAAGTAAAATGCCGTCGTGGGTCGTGAAAATAAAACACAAGTAATCACATGCCACGCGTCAGTAAGCAAAACTATTTACATTATTGCTATATTTTATATATTTTTTTGTTTCTTCTTATAAAGTTGCTAAATGAAGATAGTGATAGTAATTTATTTCTATAGCAAGTGTGATAAGGAAGCACGCACTCCGGTCATAGATTATAAGTACAGATACAAACATTGTAGGTAGTGAAGTCATCAATTACCGGCTCTGCTTTCCTTTTTTTTTTCAATCCATATTATTTGCTTTATACAGGGTGTCTGGTAAATAATGGATAAGCCTGAAATGCCTTATAGTAGAGCTTATGAACGTTCAAAAAACCACGAACACAAGTGACAAAACATTCCTTCGGTTTTTTGTTGTCATAATATTCTACATTAAATGTGCTAATAGATAGGCGGTAAATAGTATGTACGAACTATGGCACTTAAATTTTTTTTTAAGTTTTATTTTATTGCAATTTTTTTTTAAATAATAAATTAAAAATAAATTAATAAAAAAATTGTAAACTTAAAATCATTTTAGTAATGTATTTAAGCCCAAGCAGCACTCCTATATCTAAATATATACTATAAGATATCTAATAGAATTTAATTCGATTGAATATTTTAAGAGTTCAAATTCACTCAAGATATCTCGAAGAAGGTTTTTAGAAAATTTAAACTAAAAGTGGGCACAACTTTATTAGTAGATCATAAGAGTGCTTTGAGAAATTATCTGTAGGTAGTGTTAAGAGTGATTCTTATCTTTTTTCTCAAGTAACCCTTCTAGAATACTACAAGACCATTTGTAGAACAGATTTAATCTTGTAGACAGTTTTTAGATAATTTATAGTCTATGATAGTTTCTTAGTAATGCTATTTTAAAATCAAAATAACTAAAGTGTTACAAACATAAGACGCAATTCTCTTAATATTAATAGATTTCAAGTTTAATGGCTTACAAAATATAAACTATCAAAATTGCAACATGGCGAAATTAGATACAATATTTCTGACTTTTTCGCTCAATGTTTAATCGTTTAGAAAGCGTGAATTGACGTGCGACTTTGAATACATTGTGAAAAGTAATGTAAAACTTGTCATAAAACAAACGAGCTCGCCGAATTTTACATATTTATGTATAAATACAAACTTAATAAAAATACAGTTATCAATTTTCAGTTTTAAATATTTATAGAAAGCTTAAATATACAAAATAACTCACAAAACAAACCATTTCCAAGAAGTTCTAGGCTTCTTCAAGCTAATTTCAAATTACATTTACTTTTTAAAAAGTAAAGAATTTTTTCTCGGATACTTCATAGTCATTCTTTAAAAATAAAAATAGCGATAACAATTTAACGCTTTTTTCAAAACACTGTTGGGAGCATTTTGTTTATAGCTTTATCCATAGAAAAACTTTATGTACGGTGCAATATCGTACATTGTGTTTATGCGGCATTTTTCGTATTCATGCGACATTTAGTTATAATTTATATTTAGTTCACAATCAGCCATTGCGCAGTATACTCATTTCACACCTATCAAATGTATCATTATTACTTGTAAATCAAAACTAATAAACATTCTTCACAGTTATCAATACTATCATTTATAAGTGTATGGAACACCGTACACTTTAGAATACGAAAAGATTATTTTTACTTGCTTTAGTGTAGTTGACCTTGTAGAAGAATATTAATTCTTTTGAACGTTTTATGATTGTCTACAAAACGCGATGTTTCTAAGAGATTTTTTTTTTGACTGTATTACAAAACCTTTATAAGGAGTAAAAGTTGTAGAATGGTGCGCGTTCTATGCAATAAATAACCTTTTACACGTCACCCAAGGTCAAAAAGCAATTGAAAAAATCCAGTTTGTCGCAAAAACAGTTATTCTGTATAATTATATGGAATGTGTTATATATACATGACTAGAAAGGTGAATAATTCTCTATCAAATAAGGTATATTTCAATGACATACCTAACTTATGTCGGAAAAAAAAAATATTCATTAGAAAATTGAGGTTATTTCTTCACGCCAACTACATTTCACATAATGATTTCACTGTATTCTATTGATATACAACATGGAAGTACAGTAGTTTACGCGCTCATTTCAATTGTTTTTATCACTTCAGAACACGGAGTTACTTCACAATGTTTATTTATTTGTCAACAAATAAAAATGCTCGCTCGCGCGCGACTTACCGACTAATGTATCGAATGATGTGACATAATTAGAGACGGTTATTATAATATATAACTCAAATCATCCATCAATTATAATGTTAAATTAAAAAATAATTATAGCAATTATAATTTGAAAGAAATAAAGGTGCTAAAATTATAACGTACTGTTTTCACTTTGGATTGGAGTACGTTAAGAAAATTAAACTAAATGCTATCTAGCGACATACATTTTGGAATATTTCAATGCCTCGATTGCCATCAATCTATCCGTGCTTTACTTACGCAGCTAACAAACTAAATCCTTCTTCGTCCAGAGTTATCTCCCTTAATATTTCATAGATGGCACTATATTCTATGTGAAAATGTGGAGCTAATTAATATCAAATCGCGGCTATGTTATAAATTATAATTTTGGTTACGTTTTAATACGATTTTGAGCTAATGGTGGAACGTTAGCAAAATTTTGTCCGGTGAAGGGATTTAAATTAATATATAATTACTTGTTTTTATATACTTACTTTTTTAGTTAGTTTAGCGTTTGTTTAATTAATAAGTTGTTGTTATATTTGTATATTAAAGTATGAAATGAGAATTATTATGAGTGCAATTTACTGTAAATAACCAGTGCAAAGTTTTGAGCAAATTGTAAATAGTAAATTGTTTAAGTATGAAGGGAAGCTCATTGATTTATCTTCTATAACCTGTAATCACTATATGTAATAGTTACAAAACAAATGAAGCCAATCGTAACTAACCGTAAAAAAACTGTAGATTATTCTATAGATAGACATTTTATATTTAGATTCTATAGATATTTTAGCACTTTAAATAGCGCGCCATAAAAATTTAGCATTTAGCATTTAGCGCGCTATACAACATAGCAGTTAATCTCATCTCTAGACATAATATCCAAGGTTCACCACGTATACCAGATATTTTAATATTCTTTAGTTTATCCATTTTGCATGAACTTACAATGTCGGATAGAGTAGAAACCCTAATTATGGTGTTTTTGAAATAAAATCTACTGAAGACGCGCTATAATGTGTTTGTTAATAAGTATAAACACTACAGAATGTCTATAAATGAAATATATCTAGAATAAACTTAAGAACACTAGTTTTTAGAGTATTAATAGACTTTACTGGACATGTATATAACAATTTTACTAAAAATAATCAGTTGATCTACAAATGAACTTAAAATAAGTACTATAAGAGTAAATCGTAAGAGAGATCACACTTAATTAAGTTGTTTGGTATTAAGAAGATTTTAAAATTTTGACTTGAGTGAAATAAGTCTATAAAAACAATTTCTTTTTTCTAAAACCATTTGTAGCTATTATCTAAACCTATACCATATTAAGACTGTTTATAGATATAATACTTTTGAGGCTTATAAAGTGTGCTCCTTGGGAAGGTTAAAACTGTAAACAAATCCATTACGTTAGATATAGTATTTTTTAAGGTAGAAGATTTTATTTGTTTTGTAAATATTTTTCACGCCTGTTTAATAACAAAATTAATTCCCTTTTCCATTGTGTTTTATTTTTGACCTACATTTGGAAATTTACATTCTGTTCCACAAAATTATAATCTATGCACCGGCAATGCATTTGAAGAGCGACAGATTTCAAACGTCGATTACATAAACGTTACATCGCTTGTTTTTTATTTGTTTATTTATTGAGCATTGGCTGATGGCTCTATACATAAGTTTAAACAGGTAACAAATAATTACGAAACTCAAAACGTAATAATATTTAAACCAAAAATTTGTTTGGGTAAAAATCGTAACTATAAAATCCCACCTTTTTTTCTTCCTATTGTTATTCACCAATTTAAAAATCTTACATCTCTTGTTTAAAAGATCTTCAATATAAACACGTTCATATTTTATGTAATATATGTTCAATGTATATATTGTTTATAGATTCTAAAACAATAATTTTTAAGGAGACTTTATTGGTCGTCTAAAAAAAATTAGCGGTTTTTTCACTTACCCGTGAGGACATTGGGAGATGAAACTTTTTCATAACATTCCAGTTAATGTAATAAAAAATAAAAATATTTGTGAAATATTTTTATAGAGTAATAGTAATATAATACCTGGTCTCAATCTAATAGGGAATTCCCTGTACTATGAGTACCAGAGCAACAGAATTCAATCCGGGGCACTACCCAGAACACCCAGATGAGAACCGATTTAGAAAAGTTCATTTCCAAATCGGCACTACCGGGAATCCGACCCAGGACCTCCTCGTCCAGCAGTGTAAGCCGTTGGGCCACAGAGGCCGTTAAAACTTAAACTGACGTCAATCTGTGAAGCGCATAGATGTGGTACAGGATGGTTTTAAGAGAAGAGGAAGAATAAGTAAAAAAATTATAAATAGCGTGAAAGGAGTTGTATGTATACAAAGGGGTACAAAGGTGTAGTAAGGTATGGAACTTACCCTAAAATTGCCGAGATTGACGACAATGCACTTGAAGGTAGCGTCGCGGCCTATAGGTACCGTCAGATTGGTGATTGGCTCGCCAAACTCTGGCACATCCACACCTCCTGTTGGCAAAAGTACTGCTAGTAACATAAAATAATTTGTGTACTAATACATTCTTACTTCTGTGCCTCTACCATTAGATCACAATGACAGTTGTCGCTATCGACAGCGTAAAATGTTTGTATACAAAAAATTATTTCTTCTTGTGACCGCTAGAGACGCTGTATAGTTTGCCATACAAAATTGTGAAGTAATTTCCGCGGTCTCTAGCGACAACTGTCACAGTAAGCTTGTGGTAGAGGCACTGTTTGCGAAAGGCTCGGACCTGTACACGTACATTACATAATGCAATCTGTTCGTGTCCCTCTCGAGCATCATTATACGAGACTAGCGTGAGATGTGCTTACAGAGGCAAACTAAAGTACTCACCACATTTATTCACAAGGAATCGCATTACGAAGGTCAGAAAAACCATTTCTACGTCCGTATGTATGTATGAAACGCACAGCGTTATTTTCGCTCTTATTACCTGGACATATAAAGATTTTTTCTGACCGGCTCAATGTGAAACCTTGCCGAGAAGTGTGGTATACCCTAATTGCACGCGTGTAGTATGCGTACAGCGCACACGGAGCGTATTCGCCAGATAGGTACGCACTCTTTAGTATCAAAAATTCAACATGGGTCGACCTCGGAGAATATACCTCAACCGGATTAAAAAAGTTCTGAAAAGAGGTTAAAGGTTAATCAGGGTTAGCAGTAATAAGAATTAAGAGTGTAAGAACAGTTTGACGCGAGTTGAGAAAGCGTAAGAAAGCCTTTTGACTTCTGAAAAACAGCAGTCTGAAAAAAACTGCACAAATGATTTTTTTCTGTAATATTCAAGGTTTACAATATAAAAGTAGACATTTGTCTACTTAGATATAGGCATTATAATTGACTTTGCAAAATAAGTTATTTTTATAGAAAAATTAATAAATTGCTTTTGCCTTGATAACAGCCGAAACATTCTTGTTGGAATCAAATTGTAAAACACTGTACTGTGCAGGTGAAGGTTTTTGGTTTTGGATTTGGAAATTCCACTTAGTTATTAATTAAACAATAAAGATTTTCAGAATGTGCATTTTTTGTATTTTATTACGCTTTCGGTTGCTGAACGTACACGCTAGGTTTATTTTTATGAATATATGCTATTTTCGACTGGCATTCTAGTCTGAAGACAATATATATTTTTTACTATCTTCAGGTCAATACGTGCGGCGCACTATAAGTTTCTGAAATGAATTAGAAAAAAATACTATAAATGGTCAGAAATTAATTTATTGTTTCTCAAAATATTCTCCGTTAGCGTTAATGCACGTTTTCACACGAATGAACCAATTTTGAAAATATTTATGCCAATCCTCCGTGACAATAAACTGCCTCGGTGGCCGAACGGTTACCATGCCGGACTGCCACGCAGAGGTCCCAGGTTCGATTCCCGGGCCGGGAGAAATATTGTATGGCCTACAGTTATTTCTCTCGTGAGTTTGGGTGTAATTTGTGATTGTCTATGTGTGTGTCCATGGCACCCGCGACACAGGGTTTTCCTAGTGCGGGGCTATGTTGAGTGTGTGCGTTATTAAAAAAAAAACAATCTCTGTAACATATTTTTCATACGCCTCTTCAGGTGATGTTGACAGGTTGACCGCGTAACTGGTTCTAAATTTTTGGAAATAAATAAAAGTCACAAGGTGCCAGGTCGGGACTGTACGCGGGATGGCTCATAAGGTCAACGCTGTTAAATTAAATTAAAAAATTAAAACCTTCACCTTCAAAAATTCATTTATCCGTCTGGCCGTGTGAGAACTGACATTATCGTGGTGGAAGATGATACGGTGTTTATATTCACGGAGGTTGTCAATAATTTTCAGCAAACAAATGGTCATGTACCAATCGCTATTCACGGTACAAGGATTCTCCAAAGCAACAGTAGCCACGTGTCCAGTTTTATTAAAAAAGAAGCAATAATCCGCTTACAAGCACTTTGCATGCACGCCACTTTGGTTGGTTTCTGCTCATCTCGAAAGACCCATACGCTTGATTGCTGCTTTGTTGGGATCGTAACTATAAATCCATGTTTCGTCACCTGTTACTATGTCCCACACCAAATTTGACGCCCCTTCGTTGAATCTGGTAAGTATGGCAGTGCACCAAGTAACGCGATACGTTTTTTGAGCTTCAGTCAAATTGTGTGGGATTCACCGAGAGCACGGCTTTTCCACACCCAAATGTTTGTGTAGTATTGATTGTATTTGACTCATGCCTATGCCTAAAGATGCCCGACTCTCATGGTATGTCACATGCCTGTCTGTTTTGATCGAATGGCGCACAGCATCGATGTTTTTGTTGTTCACAGCAGTGGACGGGCGACCATCACGAAATTTGAGGAATTTTTGAGATTCACACGACCATGTTTGAATTCTGCAAACCAGCTATAAATAGTCTTCTTGCATGGTGTTTTATCGCCAAAAGCAGTTTGAAGTCGAGCGAAGCTGAGCTATTAAATTACACTTAAAGTCGTAGAAAATCATACTATGAAAATTTTCACGACATAAATCCATGGTGATGTAGACAACCAATTTCTAAAATGACGCCACAATATAAAAACAAGTGACAGTCAGATGAAACAAACTGTATTCTGTATTAATTACTTTTTAAATATTGTTTATGTAAGTGGCCAGTTCCGGAAACTTATAGTGCGCCCCATGTAATACATTATTAGAATATAGAATTACAATTCAGAAAATACACAAATAGATTGAAACTAAGTATACTTAACCACATTTTCAACAATAACAGTTAAAAAAGAAAGTGTGGAGGTGTGCTTGTGAGGTATGTGACTGTGTGGGGTGTGTTTCTGTAAAAGTTGCGAACTTTGAATGTGTGTGAAATAAGAAATAATAAATGTTATATCGTAAATAATATTATAAATATAAGATATTATACCTAATTTATAAAAAATATGTACACCTATTTGCAATGACAACTCTGTCCGTGTATTACATTTATACGTCATATTTTTTTATCTGCTGCAAATTGATCTATTCAACTTACGTATTAGTAATACTTTAATTAGTAGGCGAAATTGTAGTATATAATATTCAAGACTGTCGTGGAAAACAAAAGAAAGTGCCAGAATCTGCCCCACGAATAAAATTCCCTTGTACATGACACAACGGTTATTTAAACTTTATATAACATCTTTAAATTTTATTTGTAAGTAGTTAAAAATAAAGGTACAATTTCTACAAACTTTAAAGTTTTGCAGACGCTCCTTTTGCTAGACAGAATTCACGGACGTTCTTGGGAGGTAAGAGTATTTATATCAAACATTTGAACTACTAAAAGTAGTATACTGAGTTTAAAACATTTTTGAGCATTACAATTTTCTATTTGGTACGCTGACGTTGTCATTTGATGGGGAAACATTCAATTATCATTTTTAACTCCCGGTATAAAAAGAGGGAAGTTTTCAGTTTGAAGCTCTATCTGTGTGTTTTGACTGTGCGTTAAAAAGTAGCATCATAGCTCCCAAATGAATAGATGATTTCAAAACGTTTTTTTTTAAATAATAAGATTATTGAACATCATTTTATGAATTTACTCTACTTATTTGTAATAATTATGAATACAAAGATCGAGCACAATGAAAATCCTTGGATCCGTTTGGACTCGAGTCGGCGACCTCGCCATACCCCGGCTTCTTTTTGATATAAAAATGTAAGTGCGCGTGTGACCTCCTCCCTCTCACCTGATGGAAAGTGACGATGATGTCGACGATGGATCATGCACACCTAGATAATGCCCTATTCTCGCCTTGAAAATGTCCAAGTTACAACGTTCAGGGAATAAGTCTGCAGACAGGGAATTACACTCCATAACTGTTCGTCATATAAATGTGAAAGCGTAACGCTTCGTGCGAATCTTTGGAATATCCACAACGTAGTGGTGAAACCCAAGCCTACGTTTATTCCCCTGGTGATAGAATGGGGAGGGCGGAATTAAATCGTGTGATTCCAGCGCACACTCTCCGTGATATATTCTGTAAAATACCGAAATCCTGTAAGATACGGTGCCTGACGCTCTCCCAACTGACTTACGGAACGAACCAGTAGCCCTTTCAAATTTTTATTGTTGCAGATGTTTGTTTTTTTGGTTTTAACGAATTTTCTGCAGTAGTGGTTTTTTTATGTGAAGACTAATTTAATCGAGGTTGTTCTTAGCTATGTTTCATGAACAACATTTCTGTTCGACCGTTTAAAGATAATCAGTTACTTTTCCCAGTCTCATTTCAGTTATAAAATGAATAATTATTTTACTTTCACTTGTTCGATAGGCTTAAAATTTGGTATGCTGTAGAAATCCGTTAACAAGGCAAAAATAATGGTAACCTTGATTAGATGCTGTGTCCAGGACAGCTTGCAGACTAAGTACATAACGCAGTTATTCTCCATTTCTATTTCGTACATGGTAGGGCTTTATTCTCGTCCTGGTACTTAGCATTAGCATTCATGTCTTATTACACTTAATAAGATAAGAAAGGTAACTGCATCCATATGCAGCAGCGCTGCTTACATGCGTGCACGCACGTCGCCCGTCGAGTACGGTCGCACACATTCGCATAATAATAAAAGGCGCATGACACGACCAGAGATCATGCAATGCGAATGCATCACGAGTTTATGAGAATGTGTGCATATAAACCGCGCTACTACGTTTGTATGGAGTTATCATATTAGTCTTATTATACTGTGTCATTATGGTCTTGTGATGTATGGTGGTAATTGTGATGACACTTTCTAAGTATTTATTACACCATATTCTACAAAAGCTGCAAAGGTCAACAGTCGCGATACAAAGTTCCCTCGACACTAGTTTGTGGGTGTTGCGGCCTTATCACTAACCAACTTCGCGATAATGTCCGCAGAACCGTCGACGCAACAAAGTGTCAAGTAACCACTACAGGCACACAAACTTATCCTCGTATTCGACAAAGTCGCTGTCATCGACCATTATATTA